CACACACCTTATTCAACTGCCAGACACAAAGCCAATGTGAAAATGTACCTTCAGTCTATGGGGTAAAACTCAGCTCGGCGACTCGTCACTGAAACAAAATAGCCAGATAAACACCGACCAGCCTGATTGCCTTGTAAGGAAGGACCACTGACAACTCGAGTTCTTATTCAGCAGGCTAATAAGAATAATTACAGCCAAGGCAGGCATTAATCAGCTTGGCAGATACAGGAATTCTGTTAACAAGGCTAAAATGAGTGCCAAGGAATCTCTGAAGGCCACAGCACTTCAAAGACCGCTAAGCTGGGTGGATTCGCTGGCGCTCCTCCTGCCAGCCTTCCTTTCTTCCCTCAGCTTCTGGAGGAAGCTGCATGTCGGTGCCTTTCCTCAGAGCAGGCGTGGTGACCTGCTGGGAGTGCAGAGTTGTCTCCTCTGTGAGGTGCGTCCTGGCACCGCCTCTCCCTTATGAATTGTCTGGACTGCACTAAGCCGAGACTCTCCTATTTTTAACCACACTTTCGCTTTCAAACCACTATCATCCTTATTTTGCCTAAACGACTCTCAAGCAAGGAACAGCACAAGTTTACGATGAACATCAGTCAACTTTTCCTTAGTAGAGGCAGAATGGAGCCCTGGGGTCAATCCTGGCTCTGCCACATAATAGCTGTATGACCCTGGACAAGAGACAACTTCTCTGGGCATCAGTTTCCTCATCTGTAATATGGAGAAAATAACAGTATCTTCCTCAAAGTGCTGCTGTGAGGATGAAATATGAGAATGTACATAGAGCCTGACACTTAATATGCACTCTATAAACAGAGCTATTATTACTCAGTGCCTGGCAGGTGCAGAGCCCTGTATGGAAGCTATAACAAAAAACAAAATATTTAGTATACAGACACGTGTACATTATACATGAGTGGCTGTGCCCGGACAGTGGGAAGGTGGGCACACTTTTCTATTTACCTTACACCCTTTATAACTGACACAGAGGCTGCTAGCTGTCCCCTCACATCTGTTCTTCTCTTCTTCCACAGCAGCTGGCACACGGCTGCCAGGCCACTTCGCATTTCCCAGCTTCCCTTGCAGCTAGTGTGGCATGAGACGAAAGTCTCTCAAATGGAATGTGTGCAGAAATGATGTGTGCCCCTTCCGAGCCTGGCCCAGGAAGGCTCCATATGTTCTCCTCCATGCTCTTCCCCTCTTTTATGGGGCTGGAAGGTCAATGATGACAATCAAAGTGATCTAGAAACCAGGGTGGAAGACAGCAGAACTGCCAGCAGCCTGGGAGCCAGAATGACTGCATGGAGCAGGGATCCCACCCAACCCTTCATCTGAAACATCCCCTGAGGAATGTTATGAAAGACACTTCTATTGTTCGAACCACTCCGTGCTGAGTCTATTTGTCAGAGCAGTGTAGCTTACCCAACTAACACAATACCCTTCCATATTATTTGAATTTTAAAATACAGATGCAATGCTTTTCATTTAAAATCCATTTCAACAGATTTGCAAACTTTTTCAAAAAGACACAAATTAAGAGAATATCTTAATCCCTCTCCACAGTCTTCATACCTTCCACTCCCTAATTCATGCTGCACACCGGAGACCACTGACCTTCCTCAACACAGCACCATGTTGTATTCCTCTCACCCTGTGAATTTCCAATGGCTACCTGTTACCCACAGATAGAGATACACGCATGTATTCACTCAGTCAGTCAATATTTATCAAACATCTACTTTGTGCCAGCTACCCTATCAGTACCAGGGATACTATAGCTAACAAGTGCGACATGATCCCTGCCCCTGGGGAATAAACAAGGTGGGGATTTAGACCAGGAACAGATAATTACCTACCGTGAGATAAATGAGTGCTATGATGGGAGAAGCACAGGCTGCCTGGCAGCCCCCACAAGGCCAACAAACCCACCCCTAATAGTCCAGACTTCTCAGCACAGCACAAACAGCCCTCCGAATCCATCCCAAACCCACTGTTCCTGATTGCTCCCCCATTATATCCTCCTCCTCCCACCTCCAGTTACATGGAACTTACATGTCATTTCTGAATGACCCAAGTACTTTCACTCATCCACACTTACTGCTTTTCCCCAGAGCCTGGAATGCTCTTCTATCCTTTCTCTCAAAATTCTAATTATCCTCAAGGCTCAGCTCAAATGTCACCTCTTCAGCCAAATCAACGCCAATCTCAAGTCAAAATTAATCATCCTCTTCCTTGCTTCCTACCAGCTCCTGGTTTCTATGTCAGGCATTTCATTTTGTCCTGTGGCTAGCTGTTTTATTATCTGTCCACCCACTCCCACGGACCACACAGTGAGCCACTGTGTCTTGGTAATTTGTCTGGGACACTTTTACGGACAGAGTGGGTGTTTCCGAAATGCTGTATGGAATGGATGGACAAGACAGGTCAGACATAGGTAACAGAAGTGGAAATCTGCTCTATGAAGCTGAGTGGGTTCTGATGGGATGGACAGGTAGACTCAGTTAGGAAAGCTCTAAGGAGGGAGCGGGTTTTAGAGGAAAAAGGAAATAACACAGGCAAGACGAGAAGCAGGAGGGGCATTTCCAGGCCATGGGAAATGGAAAAGCCAGAGGTTCACATAGACCCTATGTAAAGGAAAGTAAGGAGGTTACTTGGAATGAAGTGTCTGAATCAGAGAAAAGACTAGAGGGAAGAGAACACAGCGTCAGCATATCCTTGACAAAAATCCCAGAGAACGAATGAGCAAAGGCGGGACACCCAAAAATGATCCTTTAGGAAAATGATGAACTTAGACGGGAGGTTGGAGGAGAAAGTCAACCAGGAAGATGTGAGAAGTTATCTATATGGGGAACTATCAGAAGCTGGGCTAGGATAGTAGCTTTAGACACAGGAAAGACAGGAGATGCTCAAGTCTGCACTCTGGGAAAAGCCACAGGATTGAGCGACAGTGTGAATGTAGAGGTCAAAGAGAGTGACAGTAAGATTATGCCCAGGTTGCAATACAAGAGGAAAGATGATCCTGCATAGCAACATAGTACGTTTCAGGAATCAGTACAGTGCTAGAGTGGCTTCCCAGAGGTCAAATTGAAGCCACACGGAGTGAGATTCTGGGGGGCAGAGGGACCAGGTGGAACATCAAGTTCAGGGAACTGACAGGAGAAAAGTCATTGGCTGGTGACACCACAGGCTTTCCCTATGTGTAGAACATGAGATGTCCAGCCAGGACAGGATACACTCATATACATCCAAGACTTCCCCAAGCTTGGCCTTCCCCTCTTCTATTTTGTTTTCCCCAGTCTCTGTTTGTCCACTCTCCCCTTTTCCCCCTTATCATAGTTTCTCAAGGGACTTCTACCTGACTCCATCCTCTTAACTGGTACACAGGTTATGAACTGCACAACTCTAGGGGGAGTCATTCACACAGACTACCAAGTGAATAGCAGCTCCCAGAGTTTGTGCAGTGCACAGTCTGTGCAACCATTGGCCATGGCCCCGCTTGACTCAGACACATTAGCCAATTAATGGGTGTGGATTATCCCTAGCAGTGTGTAATGAACGGAGAACTTACAAGGGTCCCTGAGTGAGAGAGAATAAAAGCACTAGGATCCGAGACCCCAGAAGAGATGGTACAAAATTAAGTGAGAGATCTGGAAGCTTATTGTACATGATTGCAGCTAAATCAATGTGGCTGGATGAGCTCTCTTAGGGACTGAGTTCCAGAAGACCCCTCAGAAGGAAGGAAGGAAATCCAGTGGCAGCTAGAACGGCTTGCCCACTGGCAGCAAGAATCATGGGGGTTGGGACAGTGTGGGTCCTGGAGCCAGCAGGGCAGGAGTGGCTGTGGAAGGCCTCCACTGGGACCCTCTGACCATAAGTGCAGAGTGGTCATTTACCCTATGTGCAGCTGGGGCCTGGTTGGGACTGACACCACACACCATGCGCTTCCTAAAAGATTCAGATGTGCCTTCTCTAGAAGGGCAGGAGAGAATGCCTGGTCAGATGGCAGAATTCATTCTGTTCTGGTTGACAATGACCAAAGGCATCCAAGCATATCAGAGCATTTACAAGTCAGCCCTCAGGTGTACCACGGTGGGCACTTAATAAGCAGATGTATTTCTGTGGCTGATAATCACATGATTATGTTAATATACCATATTACACCGCATGAAGATGGTGTCTGTATGTATGGGTGAATCGAAAATGGAGAGGAAAAAAAAACCCACCAAAGATTCCTTGGGTTGGTGGAGGGCGCTGGGCCAAATAATCAAGAGGTTTAGGTTTAGGGAGGGTGGAAGAGAGGGGACAGTAAAGGAGGAAAAGTAACAGGTCGGAAAAGTTGGAGAGGCCAAGGCTCCCAGGTCTTTGTGTGTAAGTATGCAGCCAGGCAGCTTCAAGAAGAGCTCAAGGAAAAGACTGAGGCAGAAGATGCGGCCACAACTAACAGGACGTTGGGACTCGCACACCGATTTCTATTGTAGCGCTCTGGGCCATCTGTGACCTTCGCAGAAGGAAGTTGGTGGATTCCCTCGCTTCCCTGGAAAGGCACCTCGGTGTGGGTTTGTGTGTGTGCAAAGCGATCCCGCCGGTCTGGGCTATGGCGGGGCATATCCAAGGGGCATATTTCCGCTCCCAAGCCGGGGACTCGGGCCGGGGACCGCAGCACCTTCCAGCCCGGGAGTTCAAGGTGAGCCGGGCTCGCGGGCGCCAACAGGTAGGGAGGGCTGGGGGAAGCCGGCCCCGGGCCACTCCCCCCGGCACACGCGGGCGGCGAGGCTCGGCCCGGCGGAGCGGCGACTCGCACCCCGCGCGGCCGGGCCGGGTTCGCACTCGGCTCCCCGCGGCACCGCGGCCGTTCCCCGCCACCCGCCTACCCCGGCCGGTCTCCCGGGAGCGGCCCCGGCCCCCTCGCCGCCCCAGGCCGCACGCCGCAGCCGCGCCCCGCCGAGCCTCCAGGGGCCCGCCGGTCCCCTCGCGCCCCGCCGGGCCCCGCGCGCACTCACCCAGCGACAGGAGAGCCAGCAGCAGCGGCCTCGGCGCCAGGCGCCCCATGCTCGCCGGGCGGGAGCGACTGTCCCCTGCCTCCTCCTTCCCCGCCGCCTCTCCTCCTCCTCCTCCTCCAGCTCCGGCTGCTCCAGAGTCGGCGCTCCTCCGCCTGGGCCGCGCGCCTGCTCCGCTCTCCTCGCGAGCCGAGAAATCCCAGCGCTGGGGCGGACGTGCGCCCCTGCCCCGCGCCCGCCGCCACCTCCCGCCTCCAGCCGGCCGGGCACCACGAGCCGGGCGCCGGAGCCGCCCGCCAAGCCGAGTGTGCAGCCCCGACCGCTTCCCGAAAGCAAAAGGGAAGAACCGCAGCGCCCGCCCGCCCGCGCCTCCCATCCGGCGCTTTGCCAGCAACAAACACAAACTTTCCCAAGCCCCTCCCCGCTCCAGGTAACGGAGGAGGCGCCGGGCCACCCGCTTAAAGGGGAGGAGGCGGCGGAGCCCACCCAGCTCTCCCCTCGGGGCCCCCACCCCACCACTAACTTTCCTCCGACCTTTAAAAGTTGGCCTTGGAAAGACTCGTCTGGAAATCCCATCGCTTTAGCTCCGTTCCGGGACAGCCCGCATTCCACCACTCTGGAGTCACCCACGCGTGTCTGCTGTTCCCTCGGCTAACTCCCGGCGCGTTCACCCACCCCTTCCTAGCCGAGCACCCCACCGAGCAGCCTCTGGGCCCTTCCTAAAAATGATTCAGATAGGATTGAAAGAGATGAAAGGATTTCAAAGGCCGTGGATTCTGACCTCTCCATGGTCCAATGGCCTAAGTGTTTAGGTGACTCGCCCAAGGACTCACAGCCGGGTGGCAAGACCAGAACCCAGCTCTCGCACCCTCTGCTCGCTGCTCCTGGGTGAGGGTCCTCGCCTTCCCTCCCCCGCCTCCTTCCCTCTCCAGGGCGCCTATGGCACTGATTAGAACACTTCCCACAATAGCCCCATGGAAAAAAAAAAAAAAAGTGTATTAATAGCTACAGTACTTTATGTGGAATGTACTCTTAAAGCTTTATATTCATTGCTTTAAGTGGACACAACTGGTTGCCAATAAAGACTCTTTTTTTCCCCACAATAAGGTTTTGTGCTTTTGATTTGAATACAAAAGGCCCAGTATTGGGAAAAAAATTTAGTGTTCATTGTTTAAAGCTTCTCAAGGATGATTCAAACATACAGGAAGCAGGGCTGGTGCCCCTGTCCCCTCAACACCACAGCCTTTCATTAATATATTGGAAACAAATCACAGATGTTAATGGGGAAACTGCCCAAATTGGGGAGGGCACTGCTTTTACCCTGACGCATCCTGATTTCCATTAACAAGAGTTTCTTACTTCCACTAACAAATGTGTGAGCAGCCAGGTATGAACTCTTCTGAAAGAGACTCTTAAAAATTCATTCCTGGGTGTGCAACCATGTGAACGTACTTAATGCCAGTGACCTGTACACTTAAAAATGGTTAAAATGGTAAATTCTATGTCATATATATTTTAACACAATAGGAAATTTTTTTAAAAATTTAGTCTTGCCATCAAGCCTTTCTTCATGCTGTTCATCCAACCTGCAACTCCTTTCTGCTTCCCATTCCAGAGAATCCTCTAGAATTTCCCTGGTAAGTTTTTCAATTGAATTCACTCAACCTGAAGTGCAAGCCTAATGTTAGGCCCTGGGAGATGCTGGAGCTACAGAGGAGAGTAAGACCTGGCCCCTCTGGAAGCTCAGATCTTTCCGTTTCTTAACTACCCACTGCCCTTCATGTCTAGACCACACATTTTGGCACTTGATCACATTCAGTCTAGCACACGCTATGGACTGAATGTTTGTGTCCTGCCTAAATTCACATATTGAAGCCCTAAGCCCCAGTGGAATGTGGAGGTTGGAGCCTTTGGGAGGTAATTAGGTCCTGAGGGTGGAGCCCTCATGAATGAGATTAGTGCCCTTATAAGAAGAGACATGAGCGAGACGGTCTTTCTGCCACGTAAGGATACAGCAAAAAGGCATTTGTCTGCAAACCAGGAAAAAGGTTTCATCAGGAACTGAATCAGTCAACATCTTGGACTTCCCAGCCTCTAGAACTGTGAGAAATAAATGTTTGTAGTTTAAGCCACCCAGTCTAGGGCACTTTGTTATAGCGGCCCGAGCTAAGACAGCACAACGTACATACTGTTCCCATCTCTGTCTCATAATGGAAGGGCCTGGGAAACTGCCACATTCTCGTTTTGTACCTCCCATGTCACTGCAGAGTCGAGGTTTGCTAAAAACTCTGTTGTTAACAAACAAGTGCAAGTCTAGGAGTGTGCGTGGCACATGATAGGTCTTCAATGAATATTTATAGAGTGAATTAATGCCAAGCACTGGGCTAGACCCTGGGAATCCAGAGATGAATCAGTTCCTGCCCTTAAGGTGCTTACAGTCTGTGCCTCAGGACTTAGTAGGTGTGACAGCATGTGCAAGGGGCAGGTGTGACACAGGGAGTGGTCAGTCCTGGAGATGGTTGTCAAGAAAAAGAGGGGAGGAGGCCGGCCCAGTGGCCCAGCGGTTAAGTGTGCACGTTCCACTTCAGCAGCCCCAGGGTCCCCCAGTTCGGATCCTGGGTGTGGGACGCCATGCTGTGGCAGGCGTCCCACATATAAAGCAGAGGAAGAAGGGTATGGATGTTAGCTCAGGGCCAATCTTCCTCAACAAAAAGAGGAAGATTGGCAGCAGATGTTAGCTCAGGGCTAATCTTCCTCAAAAAAAAAAAAAGCTTGGAGGGATGACTGTGAAATGTCTCAAACTATCAATAGGTATTCTGCTGTGAGATGTTGGGATGAGCTTAGAATAACTTTTGTATATTTAATATGGTAGGGATTCTTCTCCTCGCCCTCCCCACCCCAAAGTGTCATTAAATTAATGGTGCATCTTACAGTCAAGGAAATAACAGTGATTAGTAGTTGAAATGGAAAGAATAAATAAGATTGTCCAGGCAGGGCAAGTAGAAGTGTACTGAGGTGGGTAGCCTGTTGGTGGTGGGCAGTCAGCTGTGTCATGGGAGTCAGCCCAATACAGCAGTTTTTGTAGCAGAAAATGAGCATAAATTAATAGCTCCAGACAGTTGGTCATAACCACCACACCCTCTGCGTAGCCCTGACTACCAAAGGATAAAATGTTTCTAACTAAAGAAACATAGCACCTGCAGCAGACCAGCACAATCTGTGAATTCATGACTCTGGAATCTGATGATGCATTTACTATAAAAGGTATTTATTTGCCAGAGTGAGTAACCTTCTATACAGGTAAGGCTTTTGCCCCAGCCAATTGTTCTCAACTTGGTTAGTCTACGGGCTTGCCTGGGGCGGGAAGCCTCACCCTCCAGCATCTCCGATCCACACCCATCCCCAAGGAAGTGAGTCCCGCTAAGGGTTTCCTTGCCAGATTGTAGTGACTCTCAGAGGCTGTGGTCACAACAGCCAGCCATTATTGTCTCTTGATTACACGTGTCTGTCTGCAGACACATTGCCCCTGAAAACCCCATGAGGATCCTCACTCTTCCCACCAAACAGGTTTTCCTGTGGAGATCAGTAAGGTCATGTTATTTTTGAGTTGAGAATGGAAATGCTATAAGGTCCCAAAATGAATTTGTGGATTGTTCTAAGATTCATCCAGACCTGGTATGTTAGCCCTGCCACCTCCACCAGCCCATACACACACACAGTCTCCAGGTGGCCCTCACCCTACTTCAGCCCAGTGGCAGGGGAAAGAGTGTGTTCCATGGCAATATTTCATTCCACTAATCACTTTCGTTAAAATAGTCCTTGTTTTGTTTCCAGGTGTCTAGTTCCCCTATTGAAGTTAAACAGGGGAATGTTAATCAAAAAGAAATTTAAGATTTAATCAGAGAATTAGAGAATGGAATTAAGAGTTAAAGAGGGAGGGGTGGGAGAGGAAGCCTTCATTTCCTGAGGAGTGAGTGTCATTCAATCCTGGTGAGGCCCTGGGGGAAGTTGTGGAATGCCCACTGACAAGCTTCAAAAAATGGTAAGGGGCCTTATCTGTTTGGAAAGGGTTAAGCATGAGCCTGCCAAGGGCTGTGCTCTGTGACCTCCAGCCTAGAAGCCTGAAATGGGAGATAGTGGAGAAAGTGTTCTCAGGTGACTAGAACCACCCCATTCCATTCCACCAGGCCGGAATCATCTCCCAGCATCCACCCTGTAGGGACAATGGGGTGAAAGAGTGTGAGGAGAAAATAAGAAAATAGAACAGGATGAAGCTTTTGCAATAAAAGCTCTCTACAAAAGTGAGGCAGGATTATCATGTTAAGAGTATACATGGCCCTTGGCCTGGAGGAGTTTATAATCTAGTTTAATGTATGGAAAGAAGGGGAGAAGACTGATGCCAGAAGAACAAAGGAAACTGAAAGAGAGGAAAGTAGATAAGAGAGGCAGAAGCCGTGGTGTGTAGCGTTCTGCAAATAAGCTATCATCTGGGCTGAAGATGCCCCAACATTACACGGAGCATACTTGTACTAAAAAAGTATTCCTTGTTTATCTGAAACTCAAATTCAACTGAGCATCCTGTATTTTTATTTGCTAAATCTTGCCAACGCTCATCCAGAGAGGAGTTACCTTATATGGAAATAGGTTCTTCTGGAAAACTTGGAGAAGACAACAGGGAGCTCTGAGTAGTTATCTTCAGATTATTTTGAAGTTTTGCATTTCAGAGGAGGAACAGACTTGCTTGAGGGGGGTGGGGGGAGTTATGTTGAGTCACCGGGTAGAAATTGCCAAGAGACAGAATTGGCCTCGTTTGGATAACCAGAGTCAACTCGTTGATGAGGGAGCTCCGTTATTTGGTGAGACCCTTTCCTTTCTAAAAAGCTTTCAGCATTCAGAGGTTAAATGCCTGCCTACCTGTAGGGTGGCCGTTGGGAAATTTATTAGGTTGGGCCCTAGACAAGCTGATTTTGAAGGAAGTCCTTTTCAACCTCACAATTGTCTGCTTTATCCCAGTCCAGCCAACTCTCTTCCAAAGTTAAATCTTTATCTGTGCTGCTGCTCTCTTCTCCAACTCCCAACCGTTTGGGCTGGGCTGGCTGTATGCCCTGCAGTGTTGCAGAAGAGAGGGAGGTCCTATGCAGGTACCATGGCTTTATTCTGAAAAGCCAGGATTACTACCCCTGCACCTACCTCCTCTCTACTGGAGAGGGCTCCTAGGTTTATTATTCTAAAGCCAAGCCGTCATTTTTGGTAGACATCTCCCCAGGTTTACCCACTTTTAGCTCACAATCACCCTCAGCAAGTCACTTAGCAGAGGGGTACATTTTGCAACTTTGTCTGTCTTGGAAGGTGCCACGGAGTGGCATTTTGCCAGCCAGCCACTTCGAGGTA